TCGCAGGCATTCCATCTCTGTTGCTACTATCTTACTGCTGTTTTTCTTGTTTACAATCCAATTTTCAGCCCCACATGTCATAATACTTCGCACTAATGTTTTATAAATCTGTGTTTTTGTCTTCATATTTAGCTGTCCATCCCACCATACTGAGCTAAGTTTGTCCTAATCTTTGCTTGATTTCTTACTCTGTTGTTGCCTTTTTGTGGTTATAAACGCCAAGTATTTGAATTTATCCTTTCCTTTGATTGTTACGTTGTTCTCAATCTGTAGATCGTCTAACTGAGGTCTCCTTGGTCTTGTACAATCACTGCTTGATCGTCTGCAAAGCTTAACGTATATAGGTATTCGTTTCGTACCGGTACTTCTATGCTTTCGCATTTTCTTTTCCATGTAGTCGAGGCTTTCTCTAAGTATATTTTGAATAGGTTTGGAGATGTTGGACAAATCTGCAGGAGTCGTTTTGTTGTGGTTAAGTTTCCTATGATTCTTGTTCCTATTTTATTAAACACCTTATTTTCTTTATACAGAGCTTTTCTAGCTTCTATGAGTTCCGTATGTATTTATAATTTGTACATAACCTCCCATAGTTCTGACCTTGATACAGAGTCATACGCCTTTCTCAGGCCTACAAATGTCAAATGTACATTTATATTTTTTGCTTTTTTCTTTTCCAATAGCTGTTCCAGTGTGTATATGTAGTTTGTGCATGATCTTCCTGCCGCGAAGCCTGCCTGATCCTCCCCGATTGTGCCTTTTATCGCTTGCTTTATCTTTCCTCGCAGTTTCTTCCCATATAATCGTCCTATTGATGATATTATGCTTATTCCTCAGTAGTTTTTGCATTTTCTTTCTCCTTTCTTAAAGATAGATGTCATATATGCCTCCATCCATTCCTTTGGGAGTTGTTCCCCATTTATGGCTTCGAAACATCCTAACATGTTTTCATTACTTTTTGTTAGGGTCCAGGTCTCTGAACCATATGTCAGGACTGGGCGTATTACTGTTTTGTAGAGTTTAAATTTAAAGTTTAAGGTTAAGGTTTAAGTTCAAATTTCATTGATTTATTTTTGTATTGGGTATTGATTGCATAAAGCTACTTGTATACAGAAGTTAATATATTTTATTCAAACAAAATGAATGATCTACGTATTTTTTATTTATTTTGTTTTATTACTTTAAGGTTATTTAAATATCGCATATTGTAGCTATATTTGTGTATAAAATGATGGCCAAACTTTCACAATCTGGTTTTTAAATATTTATGCAACACTTTCGCTTACAATAATTTATGGCATTTTTTACATTTTTTATTTATCATATTGTTTGTGTACAGTAACAGTAAAACCAATATAGAGGCATGATATATGTATATTAATGTCATCCAATTTTCCAGTATTTTAAGGGATTAATGGGGAATTTTAGCGCGACAAATATTATATGGAACGTTTCATTTTGTATTGTCATTCGTTGTTTTAACTGCCTGTAGGTTGTTATTGGATTTGAAGTGCTTTCTGTAGTTCACACGACATTTGCATAATATTTTCCTTATATTTATTTTTATAACCCATTCCAATATTTTTATGATTATTATACTTTCTCAAAACTGTTTTAAAACTTTTATTTTAAGGAAGAAAGTTTATAGTGATTTCTCGTGTAAGTTTCTTTTATTTAAGAACAAAATGAGACAAAATTGAATCGAAATATGAGATGGAATTTACACAATGACGTAAGGATTACTACACGGATACTGAATTGCGTATCTAAAATGCAATCTGGAACAACTGAGAGACTCTATGGTCAATAAAGGATACGGGATGTATATTGGCTATACAGCCTATTAAAGAAACACAAGTATTTATCGATACATGTGAAAAGCTCACACCACTGATAAATTTTCACATATAAAAATAGATAATCGGCAAGAAACACATCTCAAAAAAGAATGAACAGGGTATTCAATCTATAAATTTTGACCACTACAATCGCAAAGGCTATAGCGGATAAGATGGTTAAAATTGCACCATGCTCGATTCAGTTTTAGGCCTAGCCATTCGAAAGGACATAATTAAAAGCTCACTCAGTTAAATTTTTAAGTCCCTAGGTGAATCTGGGTGTTCGCTATGGGAAAAAACGTATTTAAAAAAAAATTTATTTTAGACGCTGTATTGCAACAAAAAATCTGAAAAAAATCATGAAAGCGTATTTTAATAATACAATACTACCTGATTTTTTTCAGATTTTTAGCTTAAAAATTGAGCCAAGAAAAAATATTTGAAATTTTCAGTAATATTTTAGGTTATGTCGGAAATTTTTGTTCAACTTTAAAACAATGTTTTTTATGGGTTTTTCCCGTTCTTTCGAATGGCATAGTTATTATTATCATTTTCAACGTGGAAAATGTCTAAAAATCGAAAAAACCCCTTAACAAAAAATTGTATGGGCCCAGGAACAAAACAAAAACAAATAAGTATTACATCGACAACAAAAAATTTATTTACACTGCCATAAGATACAATAATGTCAGATTTTATATAAAAAAAAATATTAATAATATAAACATAAATTAGGTTTTTAGTGAGATGGATGACTCATCTTTTGTTTTTTTTTAAATACGTTTTTTCCCATAGCGAACCCCCAGAAGCACCTAATGACTTGAAAATTTAACTGAGTGAGTTTTTAATTATGTCCTTTCGAATGGCCAGGCCCAAAACTAAATCCAGCATGGTGTAATTTTGACCATCTTATCCCCCTATAGCCTTTGTAAAAATTTGCATGTATATATCTGTGAAGGTTGCTGATAACGATCTTTCTAAGCTATAGGAACTCATATAGAAACGTGGCCAAGAAAATCAAGTTTTCTCTTCCTTATAGTAAATATCATTTCAGGTACAATATTCAGTCTTTCCATCACTATCTGATTTGTAACTGTATCTACTTCTTCATTAGTTTTTCTTACTGTCCAAGATATCTTCAGCATCTGTCTATATATTCGAATTTCCAATGCTTCACTTCTGTTTATACTGAATACTTTTAGTGTCCACACTTCTGCTTCATACAAAAGTACAAACCAAATACAGTGCTTAACTATGGTCTTAACCAAATTATATATCAAAATGAAAAGTGTATTTAAAATTTATACAAATGATTCAATATTGTCACTGAACTATTATATGATTATCAAATTTTGACAATCGTTACGATTCGAATCTTTTATTGTCTGATATTATTTTAATTTTTTACTTGTCAGTAATTTTTCATGCAGAACAACTTAGAACGAGATCCTACAGCATACACAAGGAATAATACGAAGAAAATATCAATACCATACAAAAAAGGATTATCAGAAACACTTAAAAGCATAGAAAAATAAATTTAACATTTCAACAACATTCAAAACAACAAACACATTGAGATCTATTTTGTCTAAAACTCAACAATGAACAAGAGAAAACAAAGAATTGTATTTAAAAAATACCTATGAATACAATCAGTTTTATTTAGGTGAAACATCAAGGTCATTATATGTTAGAATAAGTGAACATCAAACTTATTACATATAAGTTTATTATAATAATATTTAAATATGTTATAATTATATAATAATTATATAAATAAATTATAATTTATTTTTAATATGTTATAATATATAAATTAATATTATATATTATAACATATTAAAAATAGAGAACTAGATAGATCTAAGATTCCAATGTGTCTGGAAAGAAAAGTCTTTAATCGATGTATTTTGCCAGTGATGACCTACGGCGCAAAAACCCTAACGCTCACAAGAACAACAGTGAGTAAACTACAAGTTGCCTAAAATTGCAATGGAGAGAATAATGTTAGGGATTTCTCTACGTGATAGAATACCCAATGCTACTATATGCAAAAGATCAGGAGTAGCAGACGTTATTGAAAGGATAACAACACTAAAGTGGAACTGGGCAGGTCATGTAGCAAGATCAGTCGATGACCGGTGGACAAAAAGAATTTTGGAATGGAGACCCCGAATACAAGCTTACAGAAATAGAGTTCGACCCCCAACGAGATGGACAGATGACATAAAAAGAGTGACAAATTGGATTTATATGACGCAAAATCGGACTAAGTGGAAAAGCATGCCTATGTTTAGCAGTGGACGTAAGAGGCTAGTTGATGATGGTGATAAGATAGATCTCAAGTATGTAAACACGCATGAGATAATTAACATAGGGTTCAAAGGAATGATTCAAGTATGGTCCTAAAAGAAACGGATGGTAAAAAAAGAAAAATCAAAGAAGCGGCTTTAATGATGCTAAATAAGACCAATTGTGTCGCAAATTCCTCGGCAGAATGCAGTAGGATCTGGTTACCCATATTAAAAGGGAAAGTTAATAAAAAGAAAATACTTGTATTAGTAAGCCAGTAACATATCAAGGATACATCATTTATATTTTTTAAATAACATATAAAATCAGAATTTATTGTTTATTCAGAGTAAACTAAATGTAAGACCAAATACTTACCATGTCGCGATAGTATTATAACGTTTTTTTCCTGTTCTTTTTCCTCGTGATTTAGTATGGAATCACTAACAGGAGAATTTTACTTTTGGCATGTGATTTCTTTTTAAAGAGGAATTACATGCTATAATTTATCTGACGAATATTCTCAAGTTAAAGTTGATTTTATGTAATCGAATGAACTATCTTACAATAAAGTCTACTTTAAAATGTTGAATTGTCAATATAAATAAGTCAGATGCAATTAAATTAGAAGAATTTTTCAATAAGTAACAAAAAGCAAAATTTGTTTAATTTACAATGTTTGTATTTTAAGAACGATTTCCGAAGTGGAAATTGAAACGTCAATAAACTTACTTTAACTTTCAATTCTGGCTTATTCCAATGAAAATAGTAATTATTTTATAATGCCACAAGAAAGTAGCTTCAGAACAATATAAAGAATTTTTCATCTTAACAGATTGTTAAATTTAAATGTACATTTTTTTGTTACAGGCAAAATCTAAATTCAGATTTCACTGATAGTGCGTTGGGATCCACAGATAAAAGTCCCCTTCCTTATGGCAATTTTCAGCTACGAGATACAACGGTACAGTCTATCCTCTCTCATCCTCGTTATGGTCCTAAGTAAGTACCTCCTTTATTCAGACATTTAATTAATTTAGAGTTTAAATTTATGATAGATGGAAAACTAATTTAAAAACTTGATAAAAATGATACATGCGAAATTCAAATTCATTTTATTTGTTCAAAGTCTAAATAGTATAGCTAATTATATATATTAGTTAAACTTGGTTATTTCCCTCCATTTTCTTAGGTCCCTTGCTTTCTCTCACCAATTCCTTACTCCTATTATTGTTAAGTTCTACTTTACTGCTTCCAACAATTTCTTCTTTGGATGTCCTCTTCTTTCTTTCCTATTTCTCCCTCCTTCAGTATTGTTTTAGCATTTCGATTTTCTGGAATTCGTATAATGTGACCAAACCATCTAGCTCTTTGGTCTCGTATTTTTGCCATAAATGTTAGTTTTCCATATATGCTTATTATTTCTTTATTTGTTCGTCTTCTCCAAATATTCTTTACCGTATTTATTCCTCCAAAGATTTTTCTGAGCACCTTTCTTTTCCCAGATCTCTACTTTCTTTTCTTACTGTCACGTGGATGTTCATAATCCACGTTTCACTGACATACATCACTGTGGGTCCAATTACTGTCTCATCATCATCATCATCAATCAGCCAATCGCGTCCACAGCTGGACATAGGCCTCCCTCAATTCTTTCCAGTGTTCTCTACACTGGGCCGCTTGTAGCCAGTTTCCCGCTACACGTTTAATGTCATCGGTCCATCTAGTCGGTGGTCGTCCTCGGCTTCTTTTATAATTTCTGGGCCTCCATTCCATAATACGTCTTGTCCACCGTCCATCTTGTGTTCTGGCTAAGTGCCCTGCCCAGTTCCACTTAAGCGTCGTGGTTCTTTCGATGACGTCTTGAACTCCTGATCTTCGTCTGATTTGTTGGTTTGTTATGTGGTCTCGAAGGCTCACGTTCAGCATTGCACGTTCCATGGCTCGTTGTGTAACTCTAAGTTTATTCGCAGATTTTTGCGTGAGTGTTAAAGTCTCTGCTCCATAAGTTTGTACAGGTAAAACACATTGGTTATAAACCTTTCGCTTGAGACACATGGGAATTGAACTTTTTAGAATATGGCTTAATTTGCCAAATGCTGCCCATGTTAGACCTATTCGCCTCTGTATTTCATGTGTTTGATTGTCTCTGCTTATTTTGATTTCGTGTCCCAGATATTTGTAAGTGTCTGTTTGTTGTATGGTATTATTGTCAATAGTTATATTTCCACTCATTACGAGATTTGTTATAATTTTAGTTTTCTCAAAGTTTATCTTTAATCCTGCTCTTTCAGACAGACTTTTAAGCGAATGCATCATAGTAACTGTATCATGTAAGTTATCTGCGATTAATACAACATCATCTGCAAACCTTAGGTGATTTAATCTTTCTCCATCTATATTGATGCCCATATCTTGCCATTGAGTACCCTTAAATATTGACTCTAGAGCTGCCGTGAACAATTTTGGTGAAATATTGTTCCTTGTCTAACTCCTCGTCCTAAGCTGAATTTTTCTGTGTCTTCGTGCAGTCGTATACTTGATGTAGCGTTCTGATAGATGTTTTTGATTAGTGTCGTGTACCTGTAATCTATTCGGCTTTGATTTAGGGCTTCCAGTATTGTTTCAAACTCTACAGAATCAAAAGCCTTCTCGTAATCGACAAATGCAAGAACCAGTGGTATGTTGTACTCGATGCACTTTTCTATTAAGATCTTTATGGTATGCAAATGGTCATTTGTGCCATATCCTGCCCTGAAGCCTGCCTGTTCTTTGGGCTGATAGAAATCAAGTTTAGGTGTTAGCCTCTTTGTTAAGATTTTCATAAAGAGTTTGTACATATGTGTCAAGAGGCTGATGGGTCTATAATTTTCTAATTTAGTAATATCGCCTTTTTTGTGTAACAAGACTATTACTGCATTGTTCCAGTCTTTTGGAATTGTACCCGCATGTAAGCATTTAGTAAACAGTTCGCTTACTGATTTTAATAAAATTTCTCCACCTGCTTTTATTGCCTCGATAACGAGTCCATCATCACCAGGCGATCGATGGTTCTTCATTTCCTTTAAAGCTGCTCTTACTTCTGACACAGTAATGGGTAAAAGTATTTCCGATCCCTGATTTATGAGAGTCTTTACTCGTGTCGGGAAATTGTCTTGTGGTCTTTGGCTGGTATAGAGGTCTTTATAAAATTCTCTAGTTATTTTCAGAATGTTTTGTTTATCTGTTGTTGCCTTTCCGTCTTTATCTCTCAGCTTGTATATTTCTTTTTTACTTTGCGTAAGTTTTCTTTTCATTATCTTTAAACCTTTGTTCTCTTCTACTGTTTGAGTAATTACATTAGTATTATATCTTCTTACATCTTTTCTAATTTCCGCTGAAATTCTTTTATTTAGTTTTTTATATTCTTCTCTGTTTCCCTTTTCGTTCTCGCTTAGGTTTCGTCGTATTTCCATGAGAGCCCTTGTATCTTTGCTAATCTTTTCACTTTTGGTGTCATTTTCTTGCAAAATTTGAGTTGTGCGTTTCTAACTGAGTCTGTTATTAATTTATTGTGATCGTCGATACTTAGAGGTTTGGGATTATTACTCTGTAAAGTTTCGGCTATATTTCTTATGTATGCTTCTGGATGATTTGGTGAATTCCAAACTATGCGTTTACAACTGTTTATCATCTTTGCTCTTTCTTTTTGTAGATTGATCGTTACTCTAGCTCTTACTGGTCTGTGGTCGCTTCCTACTGATAGTTTATTGAGTACAGTGACATCTTGAATAATTTGCTTTTTGTCTGTTATTATATAATCATATTCGCTCTTAGTTCTTCCGTCTGGACTAGCCCACGTCCATTTTCTATTCTGTTTCTTCTTAAAAAAGGTGATCATTGCATACAGTTTGTGTTGCAGTAGAAAGTTGGTAAGCATTTCGCCTCTTTCGTTTCTTACTCCGATTCCAAAATCTCCGATTGCCACTTCTTGTTCGTCTTTTTTCCTTCCGAGTTTCCCGTTAAAATCTCCCATTATCAGATTGTAATGAGCCGGTTCCTGCTTTTTTGCTCTTTCGATTTCCTCATAGAAGGCTTCGACAATTTCATCTTCGTAATCGCTGGTGGGGGCGTATACCTGTCTTTTTTACTGTCTCACAGACTCGCTATTTAGCTGTTCTTGAGACATTTTTTGCTTTCAGTTATCAATTCAGTGACCCTATGCTCTGCTTTTCTTCATTAATATTTTGTCTATCCCTTTGGCTTCTTTTCCCATGTTTGTTATAGTTACTCCTAAGTATTCAAATTCTGACAATTTTTTAAAACCATATACAGTCTCTGCTCCTTTCATTTTATTATATTTGTTATGTCTCCTCTCAGTTCCATATTTTACGTTTTTGTTTGGTTTATTATTAATCTGTATCTTTTCGTTTCTTCTTCAAATTTTTGGAAAACTGTTTCTAAATGTATTTTTTTGGTCTTGCTAGTATCACCACATCATCCGTGTACGCAATGCGCTGTTCCCTGCTATTAAAGATAGTTCTCTTTGTGCTTATATTTGATCTTCTTATGATTTGTTCTAATACTAGGCTAAATAAATTCGTTAATAGAGGATCCCTTTATAGTTTATTCGTCTTCCGGGTTTGGACCGTGTCATTTGTGAGTGACCCAAAAGTGGGTTCATCTCGACGTTTCGCTACAATTGTATGTAGCTTCTTCAGGAGAACAAAGAAAAAGAAAAATAAAAAGAAGACAGGAAGATGGGTAGTTAGCAACGGTAACTCAGTTACTCAACGCAACCAGAGGCGAATACTAACTACCAAGATGGGCATTTGGTCACAGTAACTCAACTACTCAACGCAGCCAGAGGTGAAAACCAAATGCCAGGACAGGGATTCACGTCCAACAGCTCAGAACACTAACGCGTCGAGAGGCGGGGAGTGAATCTAACGATTACTCCGCTACCGCTCTATTTATAGTCGCGGTGACCTGTCGTGTCGGACGTATCGGAAAATGTCCGAAATTCCACACATTTCATCAGCTTAATCTCCTCCCTCACGGTCAATACCCAAGACATTCTCGTCAGTTTCGATGTATCATCCCTATTTACCAATATCCCCATACATGACTCTCTAGTTGTTCTGCGAGATCACTTGACCAATGATAACAAGTCTTTGGTTTTGGCAGATCTTGCGGAAAAATGCCTCCTTTCAACATATTTTTCTTTTAGAGGCAATTTCTACAAACAAATATCTGGAACACCAATGGGTTCTCCCCTTTCCCCTGTCATTGCTGACATTTTCATGGAAGCCTTTGAGTCTTTAGCCCTAGAATCTTACCCCTTAAAACCGAAAGTCTGGTTCCGCTACGGTGATGATACATTTATCATCTGGCCCCATGGTCAACATACCCTTTCTCCCTTCCTAGATCATCTTAACTCACAACATCCGAGTATAAAATTCACAATGGAAGTAGAAAATAATCGGTCCCTTCCCTTTCTCGATGTGTTAGTCACCTCCAAGCCCAATGGCCGTTTATTTCACTCTGTTTATAGAAAAAAGACTCACCCGAATCGTTACCTACATGCTTCATCACACCACCATCCTGCCCAAAAGAATTCTGTGATCAACTCTCTCATCCATCGGGCCATTTCGATTTCTGAACCTGACAACCTTAGAGAAGAACTTGGCCATCTGCAAAAAACCCTTGTCGCCAACGGTTACTCCAAGTCCACAATTCAAAATATTACACACCGACATCTACATCCCCCTTTACACCCTAGGACGACAAATTCAGAATCTTCGGGTAATACTCCTGTGGCTTTTCTTCCGTATATTCGAAGTGTCACTGATAGGATTGGCAAAATTCTTCGCAAAGAAGGTATCAGGACTACTTTTCGACCACCCAAGAAAATCTCACAATATCTACCCTCTCCTAAGGACCCATTACCGCCCCTATCTTCCTGTGGTGTCTATTCTATTCCTTGTTCATGTGGACATGTGTATATTGGCGAAACTGGTCGT